TCCTCCACATGGAACCTAAAATTCAAACTTAAAAAATGTGGTTGGATCTGTTTCGGTGCACCCTCAATAAATATTAAACTGGTGCTTGAATCTATCGACTTGCCTAAACTCCAAAGTGTTGTTGACCTGGGACTCAGGTACTCTAGTGACTTGACATTTTCCGAGCAAGTGGCGACACAGACGCGTAAATCGAGGATGCTCTTAAGATGCATACTCAGGAATTTCCACAACTACGAGGCGAAGCTATTATTATATAAAACTTGTGTCAGACCACTACTTGAATATTGTCCATTTATTCTCAGCAGCACTCGCGTAAGTGACAAACTTAAAATAGAAAGTGTCCAACGATACTTCACGGCTAAACTACTAGTATTTGACTGCGAAAAGGACTACACATCAAGGTGTATAACTCTAGGTATCGACCCACTCTGGATGAGACGACTGAGCATTAACCTAACATTCTTCTTTAAAATATTGCATAAAATATCATTCTCAGACAGCAAGGAGATACAGTTCTCACCGGAAGGCTCTTACAACCTTCGTAACCAAACGTGCACAGTATCTAGGAAAAACTGTAAGACAGCACTCCGTGCAAACTTCTTCATAGTCATGTACTCTAAGATCTGGAACAGTTTACCCCTAGAAATAAGGACCTGTCACTCTATCATAACCTTCAAACGCTTGCTATATAAACTGCTTCATCCCAATGACTATGACAATCACACCGCACCACTTATTTCCAAAACGCATGAGCTATTAGCACACTATAACGCCTAGACTCATTACTAAATATTACGACACTAAATAAACTCTAAGACTTCGCAAAATTACATAAAAAACAACAAGATTATGGGTAGTGTTTACTATACAATGATATACATTTATAAACATTTATATGTACATAAAATAATAATGTTCTTTCCATATTTACATACTTTATCTCCCTGCTGAGGGTAATCTTCTATATACCTCCTGGTCGAGGTCGAACAACCCAACATCTAAACTGAAATGACCATTTAAGTAAATTCAAACTCAAATTCCATGAACGATCCGATACAACCACTTGAAAACGCTGGCTAACATTCTGTACAAGGAGTATTCTTGATCTGATATAAAGAAACAACTGGTTTTCAAGTAGTTTTCAATGTATTCCTCAACTTACATGTACAGTCTGCCATGCTGACGCAAATGGCGCAAATAGATAGTTCTAGAATTGACCCCATTTGATGCAGTAAAACAATCTAACATTACCTTATCTAACTTTCGTATCAAAGATCAAATTTCTTTCCTATTATAAAACTACGATTAGACTGGTGAAAAAAATGGAATAAATACATTATTGACTCAAAATAATACATCAATAAACTTTATCTCACGGATGCTGTTCACAACAAAGTTTTATAGGAGAATTGACTTCAAGCTTTATTTTTCCCAGATATTTGTATCACACTCATCTGAAGTCTGGGTTTTTTGTTAATGCGAAGACAATATTTCTATATCTCTTTATGTGTTACACAGACAGACTATTTTGCAGACTGTTCTGACTGACTCTAATGTTAGATTGAACAAACAAACTGTAATTTATATAATAACTTATCCATGCCTGCACAATTGGTATGTTCCTGCATAAACAGGAATAAATATATATATTTCAGCTTGGGCGATGACGGTAAATCGTTATATTCAGAGGTCGTCCGCGAAGCTCCTGTAACAATATGTATGGATAATATGCGCTCTTAACAACCATTATAACCGGATGAACAGATGCAATTGGATTTATAAACATACACTAAAGTGGCTCAAAGCCATACTTTTTCAATCACACATCCACTGGCCATTTACGGACCGTGGAAACTGATCCGTAGTCCAGCTGAGAAAAGCCGTCAGTGATCTTGATAAGCGCTTCTTCAAAATCTCGTTATACTATCACCCTTAAATTTAACATTCATAAACTGCAGTTTCTGTGGCGCCGTTTGGATTCTTTCAGATTTTCGCTCAATTTTCATGTTTTTCTCTGTAAATCTTGAAATATATCCAGTTTTTCGGGTCTGAATTACTGCTGTTCATCACCACTGTAACAAGCGCATATCCTTATTTTTGGAGAGCGGAAGTGAAGTAGATATATGTTTCTTTTCAAATGAAACCAACTATGTAAAGTTGACTATTGGCCAGTTCATATTGTTTTTCTGTAGGTTGATCCCAGGAGAGAACCGTCAGATCTTTCAAAGAAAATATCCCCAAAACACAGTTCAGGGTTCATCACAAGCAGTAGAAATCCACTAATTAATGCGTCTGAGGCTTATGTATTTACTCCCAACAATGACATTGCAGATCAAATGAGATAAACATATCACTGATTTCAAAATAACACATCAATGAACTATAATTCAAGGATTCTGCACACAACAAAGTTATGTATGAAAATTGACTTCAAGCTTTATTTATTTTCCCAGGCACTTATAATCCATCCACCAAAGACCTGGTTTTTTTGTTGATGCGAAGACAATACTTCTGTATTTCCTTATGTGTGCACTCACTGACGATCTAGCAGATTTTTCCAACTGTGCACAGAAATGATTGTATATAAGTGAAAAGGCTGTTTTATGCTACTGGGATTAACATTTATCAAGTGTATGTATAATCTCCAGCGCACATGTAAAGCATATCTTGCTACTGCCTGTAAATTGTGATTGAATTATATGGTTCTATTTCTGCAACAATTTGATGATGCCTGTAAACTGGCGTCCCTCCTGTACTGTACTATCAGAATAAATTTATTTATCTCTGGTTCCGTAGTGGGCGTGATAGAATGGTGGCGGTTGTTGAAATTCTTCATTATCAATTAGATGTTGGCAGTCTTGTCACGTATAATGAAATTATTATCCATGCATCTTCCATAAATACTAAAAGTTCTAATAGTGGGTCGTAGCACACTATTTTCTAGTTCAGTCATGAAGGAATCTGCAAGTAAATGACCCACTGGCTACCCCATTATCACCACGCCATTTTATCTATACAGTGTGTCAGTGAACCTGCAGTGGACACTAAAGAAGCACTTCAAAGGTAATCCCCTTAATCAGTGGATCGGAGTTATTATCCCCGATGAATCTGCATACAGAGTGGATAGTTTCCTGCTGATGACAGGAGTGATATCCTAAGGTATCATTCATTTCCCGCGTACGTTGGCGCCAATGATTAAACCAATGAATTCAAAGAAATTTAACACATTATTATGATTGAGATTATTTCTGACGGGTAGTAGGCTGCCAGCTATTTGGTAGTAGCGTGGTATGGTGAATTGGTTATATGTGAGAGCGGCTACAGTGGAGGCGGTCCCTCTGTAAATTTTCGGAAATCATTTAAATAAGATGAGTTCCACTTTCATTTGTCTGAAGACATCGTTTAAGTATGTGTCGGTATTATTACATTACTACGTTTATATCTTTTTGGAATTGTGAGCGTTTGTATAGAACCGCACATAACACTGAATGACTATTTTCTAAACTTGTGGAACCTTATGACCTGACTAAGATGGATGTTTGAACAGCTGAATTCACGACTGCACCAACACACTTATTCTTTGCCAATAACTTTAGGAAGTATGTATTAGTGCACCTGAAGTGCAACGCTGGACACCGCGGGTATTGTTAGCCTTGAGGTAAGCCTATTAGAGATACTGCGGTTAAGTAATGCCTCTAAATATGATGCATTTCAGGCCAGTATATTTTGAGAGGGACATAGCGTTATCATTTCTTTCTCCATACCTGACAAAACCTGGGAAACATTGGTCATCACATTTTACCTCCACACCTTTGTCCTGACTTATTTTCAGCTCCCCACAGGTAGTCCAAAAATTATTACATACAAAGGCTAAAAGCAATTAATACTGAATGCCCCTTTAAGCAAGCGGTTAGCAAGTGAAGTAGAGGCATCCAGTCGACCACACGCTAGGTTAAATACAATGATATGTGAGTGTAAAAAGCTTATAAAGTCCTAAGAGGGGAGTGGAAAATGCTCAGTAATATTTACTCAGCTGAATTCAGTAATCACTCTGGTCATGTTTAGCTTTCGTATCAAGGATAGGAGAACTAGTGACAACCTATAATTCTGTGGATTATTGCGGCGGCAATTAGTCTGAGGTGGTTGAAACTTTGATCGTATTAATAAGGTTTCACAGTAACCACGAATAGGTATACTTGTACGTTATTTCTCTTGATGACATCTTTTATTTATCCACATTGTTCACTCCAGTCAAACGTATACTTGACAGCAACACTTGAACTTTAGAGCACTTTGGGTGGATTTTTTGTCATAGCACCAACTACTTACAAAAATGAAGAACTGCCATAGTTCACACGCATAAGTAAAATGGGTTTGAAGCAACCATTATTACCGGTGATTTCCGCTGTGTACTTGAGACCAAACAGTAAGCATTTTTTCACATTATTCTGCAGTGTAGTGCAGTGAAAGAAACGGGTTAAATGTTTCTGACCATGAAAAATAGATAATCAATGACTCCGTTTCTAACATCAGCCACTTAAAACCGGTCATTTCTTCGTCGAAGTCACACCATACGAGCTAGCCTGGGAAATGACCCTCGACAGTTGGTCGGGTGTTAAGACTACGTCTTCTGTTCTAGATTTGCTTAACGAGCTCCAGGGAAAGAGTTCATGATTACCATGTGAATAATGGATTATTAAGAGTATTAAAACATACATATGCAGGTAGGTTTGATAGGACAGCTGGTCTTTTTGAAGCAATGGGAATTCTGGGAAAACTAAAGAATAGAACCATAGGCAAAGATCGGCCTCTCAACGTCATCATCTGTAATCAACTTTTCGTAACTATCATTACTTTTCAATTCTGATGAACTGCTCAATGTCACTGATGAAATCGATCAGAATGATAGTTTTTCAGTGTGGAGGTTCAGGCTTCACCTTAGGTTCACTTCATAATTTTTTGCAATCGTCTATAATCATCATTTCTTTAAATGGAGTACTGTTCAAAACTGATGCAAGGTTGATTGCAACAGGCGGGTTTTATGGACCCGGAATTAATTTTTACGAATTTTGAGGATTTAACCTACCAAAGTGCTCCAGTATTTTTGGTTAGTTAAATATACATCTTCCACCTTTTGAAAATTTGCCACTTTTGCCAATGAATCTGACAGCTAGCAAATAATTCCTGTTTACTCGCTATCGGGATTTTCTTGATAATTCTTTCCTATGTAGGTTAATTATAATACCGTCGTCAAGAGCGTTTCCCTAAGCTGACTGTTATTTGTTTAGATCGGCTATCAGTCACTCTTTGAAATAAACGGGTACAATTCTCCTTGAATTCTTGGTAATGCTCTATGTCATCCTGAGTATTATGGACATACATAGTGTGCTTATTCAAATTAGCTGGCATTTATATGTGAAAGCCCATGTTATTCCCGTATAAACTAGCACGTAATGCGCCGACTATTATACACATAGTGATTATTATACGCGTGTATGATTATTTACGTAATGTGCTTGTTTTTGAGGGTAAGCTCAATAAAAGAACCACAACCAAGGATCTACTCTTTAGATTTAGATAACCGAAATACTTCGCTATTAATCGGTTGTGAACGTACTGCAGTTCTTAACTCACCGTAGTTCTTATCTTAATCTGAAACTTGCACGTTGTGCCAATTTTTGTTTCTCGTGGTCATATAATTGGCTGCTAAACCTAGTCTCCATTCTTTAGCTATTTGAGGACTATTTACAGTCCGTAATTCAGGTTTCCCTGTAATGAATAATGTAGTGGTGACGTTTAGTCTATCGTCATAGCTCCGCTTCTAGTTACATCGTTGCGAAACATCCTACATTTCTTAATATAACCAAATTACTTTCCTGGTGACTGATTGCTTATTATTACGCTGAGGTGACGGAGCTGTAACTCGTCATAGTCCTCATGTTCAATGTCTTGTACCTTTTCTTACCTCTGAATATATATGACTTTCACCTTTATGTTACCACTGTTGTTTTGTTGCGGTATGTTTACTTGTCAACTATATCCCCGTATACCACAAGTTATGTGAGGCATTTGGCTAAGAATGTCTGCCGAAGTTTGAGTTGTCTTACTGACTTGAGGTCGCGAATTCCATCTAGCGAGTCTCAAGTTTGGATCCCGTCCGATGTAATTTAGCCTGGTGAAATGGGTATTACTGTCAACCTCCCAACACAACAAGTGCTACTCAGTCTGGTGAACGAGAAGTCTATTTCTATTAACTGGGTTCTAAGCAACCAACTAAACAACCCGCAATTTGTTGAGTTCGTTAAGTCCTGCTGTAATAACTTTTTCGCTTACTTTATTCCTCGTCTTCAGCATATGTATGTTATGTGTCTTTGCAAGTTATATATTATTCTCTGGCAGTAATTTGTGACTGAGGCGAAACAGATGAACCTAGTTTATTGGCTCCAGAATAAGTTGGCTCCAATGATAAGAACACTAGACCGAACAGCCGTTGTTACTTTTTGCAGTTGATCTATAAAGATCCAGTTTTTCCTTGAAGGCGTTGGACAGAGTCCTGCAACGTTCTTACTTTAGAGCACTCTTTTGCCAGTGTAGCTTTAATTAGATTAGGGACTTTTGTACTGTACTTTCAGTTAAATAGCCCTGCCATTGTATGCCGTTTTAACGAAGTTAAACTTATCTACAATGTGTTGGTTATTGATAATGACTTCTCACACCAGATTCATAACGTGTTAAAATGAATTATCGATGCTCATTACTGGACCGTGATGCCACTTGGTAATGCTTACATATTATCGTTTGGGGCAAGGATTATCCACTTAATGGTATTTTTAACAGGTAAGCTAACGAAAATGACTGATTGCTGAGTTCTGCTTCATTTGTGAAATGCTGTCGCCGAACGTGCTCACAATTTATCGCCAGTGTAATCAGGCAACTTACGAAAAATGAGTTTTTCAAGTCAGTTTTAGTCAGAGTTCGACTCAGTCTTTTCAGCGGTTGCTTCTGTTTATGTTCGTCTTTGTGTGAAAATGTGTGCACATTAGTTAGTATTGAAGTAATTTCAGAAATAAACAGAAAATAAGGTCAGAAATGATTTTTTTATTTCTCACTCGGGGCTAAGGAAGATCATATCATTGGTGTTTGTAATGAATTACTTCCTGATCTTGGTTAAGTTATTATGATCGATGAAACGACACTATGCGCAAAAATTGAAAGAATTCAGAATTAGACTAGATTTTACAAATCAAAACTATAAGCCTCGGGATCCGTCATTTCAGATGGCAAGTATCGGTCGGTCGGTCGGTTTTCGACATAGAACTTTGCATATATGTGCGGCAGTTCAAGTCGCCACACCATGTAGCACACAAAGGAAGAGAAGAAAGTAGGAGAAATGCATAATATAGACAGTGAACAGAGGTGTGAGACAAGTATAGCAGTATCACAACTAAGCAACAGTGCAATAACCCATAAAACAAGGAATTGGTCGTGGTCAATTTACAAGCTCTTAACACTAGTCGGTTCTGTGGATCTGTCTTTACTCATCAGTTCTTTTTTGTCACATTATTACAACACGTAGCTTTTTGAATTTCTTCGTGCCATACGCCTTTTGTGAATGTTTAGGATATACAAGATATTTTTAATAGCTTCATAAAATCACGGTAATAGATACGTTGACACTTTCACTGTTTGAGTATTAAGCGAATCTGTAGACCTCATTATCCAAAACTAAGAGTTGTGTTTTTGCATACATTTATCTTCATATATATATGCAAATAAAGCTTATTAAACAAAACTGCTGTATAGAAGGTACAATGAAGCAATATTATAATTATTACTGGAGTTGGGCATAGTCTTGAGTTAGGAAGGTAAATCAGTCGATGGAGTTGTCTTCATCGACTAAATTTTTGGTATTTGTTGCACGTACCTGCCCATCGCCTTCCAAAATAAAAAATATCTAAAGTAAAACTATATTGGGAGAGATTTAGGTGCCGTGAAACCAAAGTGGACTAACTGCTGGTCTGACCTGTATAGGAAAGTGTAGGTTGCCAGAGATCAAGATGCTAACAACCGTCGGTTAGTGATTTTCGTTAAAATAACTCACAGTCGTTCACAATGCTGCATATATATTTACTCTTTCGCATAGAAATTCAGAAGATTTTCCGAACTCTAAATTATTCTTTCGGCTTCATGTTTTTCTATTCTTTCTGTTTTATTCTCTTATTTGTAATTTCTTGAACGTGAAGTCGTTCATTTCTCTACAGAATTTCATGTTTCTTTTTGGTTGATTTAACCACTTTAGGAGACATGTCACCTGTGATTTGATTAGGTTGGAAGGATGCTTATGGTACCTAGAACAAAAAATAACACTAGTCATTCATGTCCCTACTTTATATTCTGATCCTTGACCTGAAGTGTGAACTACCACGTCTGTATCCTTGTCTTGTTTGGTGACTCAGAGATTTGTCTTAAAATGAATGACAATAATAAATGTTTCCAGTGTTTCATACTCTTATAATTTCAAATATGTAGCTGACATAGGTTCATTTTCTTTCTCAAATTTCTGCTTATTCGTTATTTTCTTTTAGTTTATGAGCTTTTCGTCTTTTCAGTTTGGTTACTTTGATAGTTTCTTAGACTGTTTTATTCTTGATATACTCAAAAAATTACATCTATATGTTACTTTAAAAATATTGACATATGTATGCATATATATATATATATATATATACTATATAGGAAGTATCAGTGAAGAAATTAGCATAATCTTTGAAGTGATGCTAGTTATGCATTATAAGATCAAAACATCAAGTATATATTTCACTGTGATTATGTAGTTGTTCACGTTTGACAGATATCATCCATGCAAACCCTTTTCGTTTACAAAAGCGTTACTGTTGTTTGTTTGTTTTTCAATCTCTTTTAGTTCTTATCACCATGAAACACTAGTGTTTCCTGTATCCCTTCTGTCAACATTTTTATTTTAACACAAAGTGCCTCTGAAATGGTTAACTTTGAAGTTCTAGGAAGCTTCTGGTTAATAATAGCAGTATTTGCAACGACAAATGCTCTTGATTGCAACAGTTTTAAACAAGAATGGATGAAGTTAAGATATACTATGCTAACAGGAGTTCATAGTTCAACTATAAATGGTAAGTCAGTGATATTCTGTTTCCTTATTTTATTTTAAAGGCCCAACGTCAAACATTTGTCCTGTTACCGGTACTTCTTGTTGCGATATCAATATGGAGCGTGAAATGTATACAGTTGGCCAACGCCAATTAATAAAGCAATGCAATTCATGGTTACAAGTGGCTAGAAAGATGAGCAATGATAGTGCTTCACTTGAATGTAAGTTCACGTATTCTGATGGTTGTTTTTGTAAAGTTATACGAAAGCTTAACATAATATGCATGTTGAGCAAGTAGTGGAAATCGTTAAAAAGTATCTCTGAATCCTTGTTTCATATAACTTCATTCATTATTTCCAATACTGATGGAGTTGTTCCCAAATATCTCGAGCACCTTAGCTCCTTCGTTACCCCTCATTTTAACTGTGTCATGCACCTAACCTCTCAATTTTTAATTCGCTTCTTATTTAGTAACTTTTCAAATGGATTTACAACAAGCTAAAGGACGGTTACATCAATTTTTCAGCCGGATTTATGGCTACAACTACAAATTGCACAGAAATTTCTTCTTTGGATTTTTCACCGATTTGGAGCAATATATGGCTGGTCAAAGAGGTCAACTAGGCTTATTAATTAAAAATTTCTTCAGTCAACTCCGTGACAGTATTGTTAGTCTAATCGAGAGATCTGGACAAGTTACCTCTAATCCTTCCTTTGGTAATTCTGGCTCGGTATCATCTAGTGCCGGTTCACTTGGTAATAATGTTCCTGGCGTCGGGGGGACGGATGAAGCTAGCGAATCTCGGCGTATTCGTTGTTTATCTGATAAGGTGGCACAGTTACGTCCATTTGATGATGTCGATGTTCGACTGCATGCTCGTATGCTTGAAGCCTATCCACCTGCTCGTATGTTGGTTAATGTTCTATCTGTAACCAGCAAATTATTATACCAGCTTGTTGATCAGGTATGTGATACTTTCTTCATCTTTATACTTGAATTTTCACATGTACTTCAAGATATTTTCATTATTCTCATTTCATACACGAATTCGGTTTCATATTCTACGGATATCGTCATTAAGGAAACTTAAGCTAATGCTGTGTAACCATGGAAATAACTGGATTTAGTTTTCAGCCCCTATTTTAATTTTAGAGAAGCTTTATTTAAAAGATTCCCCATTTCTTTGATATTTCAATCTCAATTTATTCAATTATATTAAGCTGTCAAGTCCGCTGTTCATTGATCTAACTACTTTTTCTTACAATCACCAAAGCATATGTCAGGACCTTACTTCACTTAGCAAAGTTTAGACAAACTAAGCACCTTCCAGTCCAGGTGTGTACAAATATGCACTTAGTTGTTCGGTTATGCTCGAAATAAATTTACTGAATAACTCACTATGTGCCATCGACTATGACTTCACCTTGGTTGTAACTGACTGACTGGTTTCAACATAGAACTTTGCTCAAATGTTGAGCAGTTTGAGTTACTACTCTACACGTAGCACACAAAACAAGAGAAGACAGCAATGAGAGATTCAAAATAGAGATAATAAACAGAAGTTTGAATGAAAAAGAACAGTAATCTGGAGAAGAAATAGTTTTATTGGGTATGACAGATCACAGAGTGAGGGGATATGTGACATTGAGGACGATTTTGAGCATACCAACAATTGGCTCCAGTCATTGGTTTTTGGCGTCTGAAGGAAGTCTACACCCTCCTACATGGCTTAAACCAACTGTTGTGGATTTCATTCACTGATGCCATGTTTGGGTTTCACTACCACTAGTTTTTTTCCAACCTAATCGTATATCAGCAGCTAACATTGGCCATCGAGGAAGGAGATGGCCAAGCATGCGTCACACGTGTTCTAGTCATCTCAATCGATGTAGCTTCACTACTTCGTCGATTGGTTTTCCCTCTTTACCTTGCATCCTAAGCCTAAACTCAATATTACTGATTCCATTAAACCATCTAAAACGGGGAATAGAACGCAGGCACCTGTGATCAAGGACAGCTACACAGGCTTTTCATGTCCTCCGCTTTCAATGACCATGTCTCACAACCATAAAGAAGGATGGACCGAACTACTACTGTGCAGTACACACGTTGTTTGGTAGACAGCCGGATGGATATCACGTCTGCTAAGCCAGAGATGGCGTAAGTTGGCGTGCGCCAAACGAGCCTTGGTTGTAAGCTACACTCGACTGTAGTTACAGTCACATAACACTTAATGTTTTCAATTTACTTGTTAGCATTTACAGCATCATTCATATTTTAAATTACAATAGGACATAGAGATTTGTAATAGGCGAATTGATTCAAATATTCCACGTATAAAAATTCCCTTTTATACTTGGCTCTTCTGATATGTTGAAAGTTTTCAGCTCGAAATGTAGATGTTATTGTCGTTTTGTTAGTCTCCATGCGTTGTAATTTTTTTCTGAGCATAAGTTTTTATATCAATCTAGACATTATGTCTGTTGCTTGCTTTTAGCAACTACAGTTTAGTTGGCTGAAACAGATTTCTGCATATCAAACTATGTGTGAGCCTTTAGAGAAGATTACAACTAACCATTATAAGATGGAATGCAATTTTTTATTCTTTCATTTATTGTAAGATTAACATGTCTAGTTGGTGAGGTGCATAGAAAATAGATTACCTAGTTAGTTAGTTAATTAGTTAACTGTTAAGTTACTTCTTACTATAAGTAGTTGTTGAATGAAAGTATAATCGTAGAGAACTTTATAGATATCACGTGCGTTGAAATGAATTCATGTTGTATCAATGTTGTTTTCTTAAAGGAAAATGTTTTTATCATTTTACAGTACATACATTTATAACTGTGTTTTTTTGTCTAATTCACATTTGTTTTTTCTGTCGAAAATACTGTTCCTAAATTTATTTGATAGAGAATAACAACATTGTCGGCGAGCTTAAGATCTAAGTAATAATAAAAGAAATATATTCCTATTCCATATTCCTTTATATCACCGCCCACCCCCCCCATTCCAATGATTATATGCCTCCTTTTCATTTATCTTGGCGCTCTTATTTGTGTGTATTCGGTATCATTGGCAGATATACGTTTACTTAAGTTAAGACATAGATTTATTTTGGTTTTATACTGAAGAAGTATCTACGAGAGAGACCAAATTTTATGCTGGAATTTTGTTCCTTTAAGGTATTTTTATGTAGTGGAAGAAGTTTGAGAATCAACTAAGATTATCAGAACCCTTGGCGTATATGTTCTCCAAAATACCTATATTTATTCATCAAAGATTATTCGGGCTTTTGATCTCACTAATAAAGGCATAATTTATGTTAGCGATTAGAAGATAATAATAACTTCAAAACTTATGCCTTATTGCCACTGTGTTCACCGATTCATTAACAGTCGAGTGTGTATCAGTGCGTTACAGAACCATATAACAACTTACAGTCTTAACACCACTTTTCAACTCTAACATTATTATAACTATTATTATGATTGCCTTGGGTTCGGAATGGAACATAGGGCTTCAGCATCCTGTTATCTACAGTCGTCTCTGGCTGATCCCACGATTTCCCGATAAGCTGTCATCTACTCCTCACAAGACCTTCTCAGTGTCACCTTTGGACCAACGCCTAACTTGTCATTTTCCATTACGGTTTGGCGTACGGTGTCATCCAAAGGTCTCTTCAGTGTGTGCCAGATTCATCACTATTTCCTTCGGAATATTTGTTAGGTAATACATTCTTGGTTGGTTGGTTCATTCTCAGAGTTCTCGGTTGCTTATCCAATCTTGAGTATGGAACCAGCGAAGGCAGCTGTTAGTGCAAGTCTTCAGTAGACTGTTGGAAATGCTTTTAGTCATGTAAATATAACAATAGTATTAGATAGAACTAATGGCTGATAGGTAGATGATTGTATATTGCCTACACATGAGGAGCAATAGAGAATTGCTATCTACCTATACATTTTCCAAAGAACAACTTACACTATCCCTTTCATGTTTTTACTATGGGAGAGCCAACAGCATTGTTTTCTTTGACAAGTACAATAATATCTAGTAATCCCTAAATGGATTAAACTTATTATAAATCAATGACTGGCATTCACATTCAATTTTTTGTTTACAATCCATTCTTCTTATTTTCATCAGGTTGTGACGCAATCACAGTGTGTTTTGGGGATTACACGTTATCGATTCTGTGCCTTATGCAATGCACAATCACCTTCTAATGTGTGTCCTGACAGTTGCCCACAATTATTAGCCAGTTGTTTACACGGTGATGGGCCGAATGAAGCACAGTTGGCGTATATTTGGCCTCAGTTAATTGGTAATTTCTTCTATGGATTAATTTTTTCTTTGTTATGCTTTAGTGTTTACAATGACTGTTAGAATTTTTTTGTTTTTGAAAACATAATCCCATTGATGTAATACCTTAAGGATTACGACTGATTGATTGATTTTCAACATACAGCTTTGCACAGAGAAGTGCAGCAATTCCCGTTGCCACACTCCATGTAGCACGCAAACAAAAGAGAAAAAGAGACATTCGAAAGAACAATAATAAGCAGAAATGTGAAGGAGAAAAAGAATAATAGCATGGAAAAAACGGTCAGGTTTAACGGACATAGGAGGTTACAGAGTGTGAATACATCTGAACCATATCACTGATAGTCTCCAGCCATTGGTTTTTAGCATCCCGAAGACCCCGATCAGGCAGCCTACACCTTGGCTATGTGGTTGGCTCAGAGCAACTGTCAAATACTTCATAAATTCATGTTAGGTTTTATAAGGATTATGGTTGATTGGCACACTCATTGAATGCTAACACTTTTGGAGTGTATTCGCCTAAAACATACTTTTCGTACCTCCAACACTGTGTCGTCATCGAGTTCTAATAAATGAACCGTTAAAAATGTGTAGTAGAACTATGCGAAAAGTTTATTCTCAGACTGTTATAAATCTTGAAGAGTACTCGATTAGAGTTTGTTTAAGCGTTAAGCATACCAAAAACTTTTTAATAAGCAAGATTTCCTTGCTTCGCTTTCATCAGTTGCCTTCTTTTTTGGAAAAGAGGGCTTTCATTGTTGAATCAGTCAGCTTCTATGACGTAACAGCCTTTCATATATGCTGTAAATTAGATAGAACTATATTTATTTTCCACTGTATGAGTATTACTCTTATCACTGGTTGGATTGTAACTCGATTGTTACTTAATAATCGCCAAAACATTGTTGTATTGCTCTTCTATTCCTTGTTGAACTGCACTGTTTTTAGTTGCTTAAAGTTGGTTACCTTGTGGTGTCAACAAGAGTGTTTTATAACATGGAAATAGCTGTTGGGTGTATTGAAGTGTAAAGTCTCTTCTGTAAATAAGTTGTTGTTGCTGCTGCTTGAATTAAACATTTTTCAACTATCAATTCATTTCCCAGTTCACTTGCAAATCTAAAATAAGCCAGTTTCTTTTTGTTAATGAGTACTTTTAATGCTTAGAATGTTGATTAAATAGTACATGGATCTTCATTTATGGAATTTCTCTTCTCTTTTTTGTCTCGCGAAGTTCAGCGACTTAACCTGATGCACTTTTATGCAAATTTCCACTTTGTTTTGATATTCACTCGGTCATTCAGTTAATTGGCGGTTAAAATATGCTGAATGTCCTACTTCCCGCTTGATGACTACACATTTGCATATTGAAATATATGCTTTATCAGAAAAAAGGTTGTTTGTCTCGGCTGAACAAACAAAGTACTGTGAAATAAATTAGTTTTGAAATGAAATGATACTTGAGAACTACTTGTTATTCCATGCAGTTGACGATCAGCCACTCTTATTGTGGTTTGACTGACCAAAACCTCGGTAGGTGGAGCGAAGTTTGAACCTATAACCCAGTGTTAGGAAGTCGTGCACCTAGACTAACCAATCAGCTACTGCTATACAAAATTAGTTTTATGAGGTTGATAATGAAATGTTCATGTACATATATAACACTAAGAAAAATGGCTTTTATACCCACTTACTGCTTATTGTTTATTTCATTATTGTATACATTGAAACTGTAGATCAGCTATCATATTGGTTACCTTTGTAAAAGGGTAGATATACACTGTTAAACTGACATCCCAACAAGTTTATAAAAGTCTCGAAAAGCTTACCTGTTAGCCATTTTAAAGACGATCTAGTGATAGCATATTAGTGTAGGTTCATTGCTTTTACTAGCTTAACTTCACTAACACTGGGAATGTCAGATACAGTAATTATATTGAAAATGCATATTATGATAACAAGTGTATACAGTTACTAACTGGAGTTACTTTTTGTCGCTAATAGATATGGTTCAGGAAATCAGTGACAACGAAGGTGCATTGGACAACTTTTTTCGTTCCAGTTCTAATTATTCAGCAATAAAAGTCAGCGAAATTACTCACAGTCGAACCTAATTAGTTTTTCTTTACATTAACATGATTCCCTTGGGTCCTGAGTGGAACAGCACACTTCCTTCTCAGTCTGTTCTCTGCAGTTCGTTTTAGTTGGCTCTACGATTGCCTTCATCTCCTATTCTATGTAACCTTCGGTGTCAAGTGTTAGGTAAAGAGGGAAAGTCAACCGATGAAGTTGTGAAGTTACATCGATTGTGATGTCCAGGGTATGTGTTACGCATGCCTAGTTGGTAAAGAGCTAATAGTGGTGAAACCAAACCACGAAATTTTTAACAGTTAATTTGAGCAATGTCGGAAGGTGCAAGCTTCCTGGTTGGGGTCCTCTGGATTCTAAGAACCAATATCTCGAATCAGTTGGTGAGGTGGCTCAAAATGATTCTCACTGGCGCAGGTTCATTTACATCTACCATATCCATGTTACTATCCTTTCTGCCATACATTTCCGCTTATCATCGTTCTTTCGAATCCTCTTTTCCTCTCTTTTGTCTTCCTTTGTTTACTACATGGAATGTAGCAACTTGAACTGGTGCATTTCTGGGCTAATTTCTGTGTTGAAACCAGCCAGTCAGATCCACATCACACTTGTCGTCTCCCATCCAGGTTCCACTCGAAGGTCTGCCTAGCTCATTATGTCACTTAAAAGTCTCCCCAGCATGTGTCCAATTCATCTCCACTGCCTACTACATATTTATTGGGCAATATTTTTTTGGTTAGTTCGTTGCCTGTCAGAATTCTTTGTTGCCAGTTCTTTCTGGCAATCTAACCTTCAGTATGAACCGAAGTTGGCTGTTACTAAAAGTCTGAAGCCTGTTAGAACGGCTTACAGTGACGTGCCTGCCAAGTTTCTGAACCAAATAGAAGAACTGACTCGACATTAGTGTTTAAAATCCAAGTCTTGTTCCCTATACTGACTGCTGCAAATTTCTACACTGATTTCAGATTTATTAAGGTCTTTCTTTCTTTTCTAATCCCTCCTTTCACTTATCTGTGCTGCTAATTAATGCTGCCAGTGTTTGTATGATAAAAACATTACCTATCATATGCGTAATAATATCATTTCCTGATGAAAGTCATACCAAATTTCCTCAAATCTCATTGGATTTATTACTTATCTGTTGTTGTTTTTTGGTGCAAAATGAAGGTTATTACTATTGACATTCACGAATGACTTTCATCTGTAAAGTTGTAGAAATCAAATAATTGCAGATTGTTGGATGTAATTTCATAGACTTTCTTTCCCTGTAAAATTGAAGCATTATTAATTTATGCCTTTACATTCCCAGTGGAACGCTGGAATTTAAGCTAGAGCTTTGAAGTTTCGGTAGCAGTGGTGTTTCTTACCGGATGGGGTTGCTATCCTCACACCCAACCTTCCCTCTTTACTGGGCTTATTATCGGCTAAGCGAGGTAAATGTATGCATCGGCCTGGGATCGAACCCCAAACCACTTGTGCGCTTGACCAGTGTTCTACCACTAAGCCACCAACGCTAAAGCCTTGAGCCCGACATGATTCAAACACACAGCATTCTGATCTGGAATCAGATGCACTATCGTTGCGCTATGAGCTCAGAAATTAAAGCATAGGCTAATATTTTATTTTATATACCTCACACTAATATTAAAAGTATGTATAAATGTATCTAATCATGTTAAATATATATATTTTTTTCTTATTGCTTCATCTAGATGCAATTATCATGGCAACCAATCGATTGGAACGATCATTTAACTTTCCTGCAGTTAATCGTAATCTTCAAATGGAGATATCTGAAGCGATAACTAGTTTACAAACACGTTATAGTGAAACAAAATCTAAGGTAAATTCATTTACTTGACATAAATGCTCTCTCAATAAACATATCACTCAGTAGTATATATGTATATTGTTATCTCGGTAATTTGCATGCTTCATTTCTATTCATCTTGTCCAATAAGTCAGATATTTTGATGTGAGTGTTTTGCATTCTCGAAGATAACCGCTTTGAGTTTCCACCTCCAAACGATGTAATTTACAAATGATGAATTGGATATGATTCTTTTTTAGATGTCGAATTATTTTTCTAAATAAATGACGTAATGCCTTTAACAAGTTCTCTTTTTATTGCTCGACTGCTACTGTAATCACTTGTACTGGTTACTACTCACAAGTTCAGTCAACTATCGTGTTTACAAATTGAGTATTACTTTAAAGTAGTTCGTCTTCTTCTTCTTTAATATAAGTGTAGAACTTGGGCACTGTGGTAGAATGTAATTCCATATTAGATAAGCTTATTTTAAATATCACAGTGATGATTCAGTATTAACAACTGAATGATGACAAGGTTTCGAGCATAAATTATTGCCAATCATAATCATATCAGCTTTAGTCACACAGCTTCACAATTCGTCTTGTGTATATTTTCTTTCTTTCTTTCTTTCTGTCTGTCCAAATTCACTTTGTTATCTGCTGTCACTTTCCATGTCTCCGGTATAGGTGATGCGTTGCGTCATTTTGATTGCACGTGCGCGTTGTTGAACTGATAAACAAAGCTTCAGTGATTAGCCTCTCTCTCCCCCTAACTATTTATTCAAAAATATGTGAAGAACCATAGAAAAACTATGATTAGCAATAAAAATGACGTAAATAATATTGAATTCGGAGCTTCTGTAGTACTACTGTATAAAGAAGGAACGTCAGAGGCCTTACGTAGGATTCTCAATGATGCTGGAATTAGGGTGGCATTTACACCAACCAACCAACTCTCTCAGACAAAAACTTTGTTGGCTTAAGGACCCGACAGATTCAATTAAGAAAAGCAATATAATTTACCAAATACCATGCAATGACTGTTAGTGAGGTCAATTTTACATAGACCAGTCAAACTAGTAGATCGGGGTTAATCAGATTATTGGAACATAAGCATCTAACTAGACCTAGAATAATTGACTCTGCTAAATTGAATAACCTAGAAAAAATCTCAGCTATTGCACTGCATTCGCTTGCATGTAATCACAAAACAGGGTGGATGGGACAGAATGAAAGTATTAAAAAGTAATGTAGTTAGGTGAAGAAAGATAGAAAGAGAGGTTAATCACTGACGCTTTGTTTATCAGTTCAACACCGTACACGTGCAATCGGAATGACGCAACATATCGCCTATACCGGACTTACAGAAAGTAGTAGCAGACAACAAAGTGCATTTGGAGAGACAGAAAGAAAGAAAGAAAATATACACAAGACAAGTTGTGAAGCCGTGTGACTAGAATTGATATGATTATGAGTGGCAATAATTTGTGCTCGAAACCTTGTCATCATTCAGTTGTTAATACTGAATCATCACTGTGTGATATTTAAAATAAGTTTATCTAATATGGAATCTTCTTCGTGTTTTTTAAATCCCAAGTGGAACATACGGCTTCAAGGATGAGCTTTAGAGTTTCAGTAGCTGTGGTGTGTTGTTTCTATGAGATGAGGTTGTTAGCCGCGCTTACCACCAGCTAAGTGAGGTTTAGGAGTACGCTGGCGGCCAGTAGTCAAACCCGAACCAAGTGTGTGGCTAGCGAGCATTCTACCATTAAACCACTGATGCAGTTTAAAGTAATTCATACCTAATATTAACTGGAGAGACAGAGAGAGAGGTGGTAAATTGTTTTAAACACCTGACTTTTAGCCAATGAGTCGTGGTACTTCAGCCTCAGCACGCGGGTAATATCCTCAGCCCTCAAACAATAAGTGTGACTCAGCCTGATATGTGAGGAATGTATCCTCCTTAATTAGGTTCGAACAACAACACCGTTTATTCATTCATGTCCAACTTCTTTTCGTGCATCACCAGTAGTTCAGTGGTAGAATACCCTCCAAACACACACACACATGGTCCGGGACTCAATCGTCAGCTGACACACTCCTTAATCTTGCATAGCCGGTAGTAAACCTAGTAAAGAGGGAAAGTTGAGTGTGAGACCAGCAACCCAACACTGTAAAGAAATAAACACGACCGCTACTGAAACTTTAAACCTCAAGCTTGAAGCCCTAAGTTCCACTCGGAACTCAAAGGAATAAAGTAGAATAAATAAGTTCCTTTCAGTCTAAAACTTGTTTCGTTTAGCAATCATATGTTCGACTGCAAAGTGGTAAGCCTCAGTCTGTCTTAAGAAGCTTAAAAGGCAAGTGTATTGTTTCTTTAAACTCCATTGCTATTGCTAATTTTAATGTTACTTAAAATAACAGTAGATCCCATACACATAATAGTTGAAATATTACAAAGTTATCGTTAGTGCTTTAAAAAAGCAGGCTCTTTGGTTTGCATAGATTGAAATTTGCTTGTGTATTTTTATTTTACAATGAACAGTGACTAAGATTAGTGGTATGACCATCAGTTCAACTTGATAGTTTACGAGTCTCTTGGGATAACGAATTTCCTACTTAGTAGTTTTCCTAGTCTACTGTTCTCAACAAGAACCACTGCGGCGCGATACCACTGACATGCAGTGCAAAAAAGGAGGAAGACAACGTTGAGTGGAGAGCTTTTATTGTCTCGGATTGACAGTACAAACTAGATTATGCCTCAGACTATGGGGAGCGAGAAGACAGGAATACGCTGGACTGATAAGAAGACTCTAAAAGATCTGGATTTCGCGCATTATTTACGTCTAATGCCACACAAACTCGAAAGCTTGCAGGCGAAAGCCAACCAGCTGGCTGAAGAAGCAGCGAAGACAGGACTCCAGGTGAACATAGAGAAGATAGAGGTGATGAAGATAACCAACCAACAACACCGACGAAAGCTCCGCAACCAAACCAACCAGCTCAGAGAACACTATTAATTGCAAGAGGTTACTTCCTTCACTTGTCTAGAAAGCATCGTCTCATGGATCAGGATGTCAAAACCAGAATCGGAAAGGCAAGGCACACCTTCATCACTCTCAAATCGGTTTGGAAATCTGCATATTCAGCATAAAGAAGAAGATAAGGATTTTCAACACCAATGTTAATTCAGTCATCGCTTCATTTTGGGTCAGAAACTTGGCGTGCCTGTCACGAAAAGCATTTCCAGCAGCCTACTGCATACTTGCATCAACGGTTGTTTTCGTTGACTACATACTGAAGATAGGATGGTCAGAATGGATAAGCAACAGGGAACTCGGGAAATAAACCAATGAAGAACCTATTACTCAACAGATATGTAGGAGAAAGTGGACATGGATTAAACACACGCTGAGGAGACTGTCGAATGACATCGCGCGCCATACCATCGCTGGAGTGGAGAACGACGAGTTGGGCGTTGGTCCGAGGGTGACATAGAGAAGATTGCGCAAGGAGAAGATGAGAGACTACGGGCAATCGCGGTGATCAGCTAAAGAGGATCGCTGAGAATAGGACAAAGTAGAGAAGTGGTGTTGAAGCGTGTTGACCACTGTACTTATTTGGGAAGTTGCATCAGCCTCAGTGCGGTTGATCGCTGACGAAATCTGAGCATGGATAAAGAAGGTTCGTTTGACATATGGCAACCTACGCCATCTCTGGCTTAGTAGACGTGATATCCGGCTATCAACCGAAGGGCGTGGGTACTCCTCATCAGTTCGCTCTATCCTCCTTTATGGCTGTGAGATATAGTCATTGTAATTGGAAGACAGGAAAAGGCCAGTTAGCTGTCTTTGATCATAGGTGCCTGCTTGCGTTCTATTTCCAATGTTAAGTGGGTTTAATGGCGTGAGTAATATTGAGATTAGGCGTCGAGTGTTGGGTAAGGAGGGAAAATCAATCGACTAGGCTGTTAAGTCACATCTATTGAGATGGATAAGACACGTGTTACGCATGCTTGACCATCTAGGAAGGAGATGGCCAATGTTAGCTGCTGATATACGATTAGGCTGGAAAAGAACTAGTGGTAATGAAACTAAAACATGGAATCAGTCAATAAAATCCATAACAATTAGTTTAAGCTAGCCACATAGGAAGGTGTAGACTTCCTGGTTGGGGTCTTCGGTATGGTAAGAAGCAATGATGGCTGGATAGATAATTGGTTATACTGCTCAAAATCGTTCTCAGTGATGGCCCAGATGCATTTACTCTTTGTACCTTAAGTCTTCATGTTTCTCCATGTAATTGTTCTTTCTGCCTCGTTATATTTCTTTTGAATTTTTGTCTCTTTTGTATACCATGATGTGTGTTATATGGAGTGTAGCAACTGGAACTGTTGCGCCTCTGTACAAAGTTCTATGTTGTAATTCAGTCAACTGAAGATAGTAACATTTAATTATTCTCTTACGTCATACATATATGTGAATTCAGTTTATTATACTTAAAACTAGTCTGTTTTTGGTTGTGTTTGTACTTTACTCTGCATACTGTGTTATTTTAAATTGCGAAAGATTGAACAGGTGCGCTTTTGTAATGTGTTCTACTTTTCTCTCTTTGTGTGTGTCTTCTAATTGATCATTAAACATAAAATGTTGTATTGTCATCATCAAATTCTTGTTTTTGTTTGAAAATGCAAAAAAAAAACTGTAGGCCATCGAAGTTTATATGTCGTAAGAAAGAAAGTTTATTTGTAATTTATATTACGTTCTTTCGTTTGGTTCATTAGACCAACTAGTGTATGTATTTGTTTATATTTTTATGGATTCATCACCTTTTTACAGGTTTCTTCTTTGTATTCAGTTGTATTCATATCAATGTATTGATTATTTTGACTGTTCCTCTCTTTTTTTCCTCCTTTCAGTTTGAATCCGAATGTCGATTCGGTTCTTCAGGTCGACGAATGCCAACATTATTCAATCCTATTGGATCTCATAGTCAAGATAATCGTGTAAATCATTCAGATATCTCTCGATGGCCTATGATGTCAGATTCTAGTAGACAATTGAATCGGATGGCTCGATCACCATCATTATCATCATCCTATAGTCAGTCCTCATCACCTGTTTCACAAGAATTTCTTGCCTGGCAAACACGACAACAAATGCCACAGATGATGCCTAGTAATAATCATAATCCGCCAAAAATGGATTATGCTCAGTCAATGAATCATCGTGACTGGGATACATCAGATAAAGGAAATTCTATGAATACTCCACATGATCTTGTTCGACAAGCTGGGGAAATCAAACAAACTGTAAGATTTTCGTCTGTCTTTTTCTCTTGCTTGAAATGAACATTTAACACTATCCCTTGTAATATCAGTGTTTTATTTTCGGTGGCTATAAACGGATTGTATTCAGTTGATAACTCATCTCAGCGCTAGTAAGATAGGCTTTAGCGGATAACGGCTCTATAAGAAGTTTCATTGTAACTCCATTCTGAAGTTTCACAGAGTCAATCATTGACTGTATGCTTCAGGTATTTGTACGAAGTGTGCAATGGTTAAAATAAACAATATTGTAGTCAAAATAGTTCATTTACTCGATTTTCCCCATGGTTTACTTGCTTACTGTTTTGCCAGTGAATAAACTATACGTGTAACACGTCGCATAAACTTACAGAAGACTTGAAACTGTCTGTTTTGTGACTACTCGAATGCTAGGTATGGAGGAGTGGTAACTGCAAGTTTAACTCTGGAAACTAAAGTTCCAGCAAATACCACCATTTGCTTTGATTCTAGATCAAATTATCGGTTTTGTTGTGTATCACGCGAAATGTATAATACAATATATTATCATAAGGTTTACATATGATGTCTAAGCTTCTGTTATCCTTTTCCCCATGTAAGCTACTAATTAATACTGAATTAAGTAGTATTAGTAGTAACTAGTAAGTATTACTCTAATGTATGCATATTGTTGTACTAATTGAGTTTCAACATAGAACTGTGAACAAAATTGCAGCAGCCCAAGTTGCCACACTTCATGTTACACTCAAAAAACAGACTAAAAAGAGGGGAAACAAGAAATTCAGAAGAATTGATGATAAGCAGAAATATACGGTAGAAAGAATACTAGTTTGGGAGAACATGAGGATTTGTTTAATGCATCTGGGTGATAACAAAGAGAGTTAAATGCATCTGAGTTCATTCACTCTTAGCATCCTGAGGACCCTAACCGAGTCGTCTACACCTCCCTACGTACTTTCGATTTTACACTAGGTAGTAACTAGTGTCATGCTACAAACTGAATTTTACCTGTCAAGTTTGAAATGTGACCAGCATGCTTAGATAGGTCGCCATTGCGGTGCACTCTGGATTGATGTTATTAAATAGTTAGATGAAATCGGTAGAAAGCCTTTGACTTAGCTTTCATGCACTCATCAGCAAGGCATATCTGCAGTCTTTACGGAATTCATGCCCATATTGCAAACTTGACTTGATAGAATTCAGTCTGCATCAAACAAAGGACTAGACACATTACACTAGTTATTATCTAGTGTCCCCTACAGTCCACCAAGAGGTCAATCGTGAGCCTGAATTGCTCAGTGGTAACGTCTCTAACTACAGCACTGGGCGGTGACACAGGTTTGAATCTCAGAAGAGAATTGAGTCCCGGCAAGGTTGCAGACACTCCTCTCTGACGAATGCCAAGAAGCACAAAAGCTAGGTCGAAGGCTTCCTGCCAATTGCTTTCAACCATCTAATAACACCACCCTACATTGGCTGGCTCAGTCCAGCTGTCAAAGACTCAATAAACTTATGTTAAGTTTCATTTTGGCCACCTCAAACTCTCTTCTCAATGGAACCTTATGTCAGCTAACAGTGCTCATCGAGGAAGGTGGTGGCACTTAGCTTGTGCAACACATATCCTGGTCATTTGAATCAATGTAGCTCAATAATATTATAATAAAGCTTTATTTCAGACAATATGCGAACATATATTACAGAAATTTTCAGCTTGTTTGCTTCCAAAATATTTCCTCTTCATACAGAATTTACATGTTAAACAATAATCTGAAGTACATCATTTATCGTAATGTTGCTGTATATGGGGAGAGAACCAAATCTGTACATTTTTTCTTCAATTCCTTCGAGAATTACATAGCGTATAGTAAGAAAATAATTAAATATGCACACGAGTCCATGTATTGGTCATTTGATATAATTACACGTTTAAAACAATAAGAAATGCAGAAGAGCGTAAGCATTTTGGTGGATTGAAATTCTGTTAACCCAGTGATTTAAGCAGGCTACCGGATTTACCAACCTTATCGACTCATTAACAGTTGTCTTCGCTCAATACTCAAGATCAGATGGCCGGCCAGAAAAGATCAGCATCAGAGATCTCTGGCAATGAGCGAACCAACCAGGAACCGATTGTGAAACAAATAGGCAGGAAGAAATCGAGGTGGAATGGATCGGCCATACTCTGAGGAAACCAACCATCAAGTGACATCACTAGACAAGCCATTGTTCGAGTGGAACCCGAAAGGTAAGCGGCGAGTTGGTCGTCAGTGCAAGGGTGACTTGGAGGAGGTCATGTGAAGAGGAGATGAAAACGTGTGGGCAGACTTGGAGCCAGGTGAAGACTCTAGCAGAGAGCCGAACGCAATGGAGACGCACGGCTGAAGCCCTATGTTCCTCTAGGAATTAAAGGAAAAAATAATAATAATAGTCGACTCATTTCCCTTCCTTACCTAGTACTCTATGCCTACTTACAATGCAAATTGTTTCCTTCATGCTTGTCACTTTTTTAAATGTGCATACTCACATACCTATTTGATGCATAACTTGTGATGCATTATTGTTTGGTTTGTTTATGACAGATGGTAATATGCATAGTGATATGCATTTTAAGTAAAGAACAAATTCATAGATAATAAGCAAGTATTATTAATGAAAGCTATCTTATTAGCTGCTTATATCTAATGCCTAATTTATTCCATTCTGACTGATTTCTTATAAATAGAAACAATCAAATTCAGAAGGGTGTGTGTATGTGTGTGTAATTAGCACAGCCGAGGGGTATATTTAGAACTTGCTTATATAACTATGTTTTCCGATCCATTAGGTAATTTGTTCAAGATAGTTAAATAGAGACCATTCACCTATAATGTTATGCTTTATGGTTGAGATATCGTTGTGGTTATTATTATTATTGATATGCATGCTTACCGACACACACACACACACCCATATAATGCATGATTAGCAGCAGATTTTCGATACAGACTCTTTCCAATGTCTGTTCAGACAGTATTAAAAAAATTTCAGACACTGTTTTGTCATTTAGCGGTTTTTCTGACTTTTTCACTGAAAGCAGTCAACAGAAAATAGCCTGTTTTTTTCTTTTTAAAAAAATGAAGGCTTGTCAACATTTTGAATCATATTTTGTTTTTGTCTTTTTTCACATAATCCCTTTTGTATTTTGTAAAAAAAGAAAAGAAAAAGAAATGTGTGTTGCACACTTCCACTTCATATAGAGAGCTATTTTCTTCCCTCCTTTCAAATGCGTTAGTCGGTAGTTGAAGTTTCCACTGTAACATTATAACTGCAATAAACACGCGGTAGAATATGTATACTCGTATCTGAGGTGAATGTACATCGGTGGTTCAATGGTAGCACACTCACGTATGTGCTCCGGGGTTCGATCACTGGCCAACAAACAATCTAAACTTTGCTAGGCCGGTAAAGAGGGAAGAGTGGGCGTGAAGCTAGCAACCCCACCCTGTAAGAAGAAACATCACTGCACTGAAACTTCAAAACGCTAACTTAAAGTTAGATATAATAGAGAAGATTTGTAGCTCAGGTGGATGATTTTGGTGTGGTTGTGTTCTCTGAGCTGGATGGTTTGGTTGCGAAGCTTTCATTGCTCTACTGAGCAACATCTTCAGCGCATACTTCGATGTGAAGTGAGCTTTTAGAATTCTCTATGAGTTTATTAGTCATCTCTTCTAGTAACCCTGAACGTGCGTCGGTGGCACAGTGGTTAGGACTCTCGTCGACCATGCACATGGTCCGGGGTTCGATCCCCTGCCGGCGCACACCCGATATCTATGGTCGGCCTGAATTTGGGCTACCGATATCCATGCTGAAAATTCCATACTTGTACCGAAAATACGGTGTGGAATCAAGCTGTAAATCAAAAAAAAAGTGATTGGTTGTTTTCGTGTGACATTTCACCCCCTAGTTTGCTTGTCTCGGTGCTGGCTGCTTCTTTGGTCTGAATGTCGTTAGTCATCCCTTCTGCTAACCTTGAACGTGATTGGTTGTTTTTGTGTGACTTCTCACTTTCTAGTTCACTTGTTTTGGTGTTGACTGTTTCCTTGACCTGAAGTTTGACTTTGTTTTTGTGTGAATTTCTTCGTATGGATTGGTATATTTTATCAATCTCCATCCAGCTCAGAGAACACAACCACACCAAAAGCTAACTTAAAGTCCTATGTTCCACACTGAGAACGTAAAGGAATAAAATAAGAAAAAAATAATCTGAGATGAATGACCTTTCAAGGTGTTGACTTTATCATAATCTTCCTACTGAATATTGCAGCCACTATGAGGAATCTAAAAATACTGTGCAGTCTAAGCGTTGTACTGTTACATGCAAATAAAAGTAGGAATATTGAATGTTTCGAGCCTTAAACCAAACAAGGATAAAGGATATTTCAGTTCTTAAACCAAACTTGGCTAAACGGTTCTCTGAGCTGAGTTAAACCGGATATACGGCTGATGAATCTGGCCCTACAGAAGCGAAACGGCCGTCCGGATTTAATTCTCTTTTATCTGGTTAGTAAACACTACTGGCTGATGTGAGTGTTATCCAACTTCTCATGTCGTAGACAGTACAGTGTACAATATAAATCATAGAATTGTAGAATATATACGAAACAATTCGTTTGTCATCTGTTGACTAAAAGCATTCAGTCCTCATATCGTAAGGACCTTAGTTATTTGTTGTCAATCTAAACGCCTAAATTTCCTGAAAATGTTGTGTTCTACGTCTCCATACTTCTATACAGCATTATTATTGTTCATTCTTTGCATTCCGAGTGGATTATAGCGCTTCACTGGCACATCTGCATCCCTTGTCAATTATCCGCCACCATTTTCAATTGACTTTACGACTGCTCACAGGTATTCACATTATATCCTGTATGTCACACTCGAATGCCTAATCATTCTATCCCAGTCCAACTTCCAGTTAAGGTCTTGCCCCGGGTATGGTGTCACTCAACGGTCGCCTCAGCGTATTT